TGCGCCATTGCAAACGATTTTGAGCCATGTCGTTCAAGGTCTCTAACCATCGGCAACTTTCCTCTTGCGGAACCCATCCAGGTAGTCTACACCTACCAACATGACTTAGTTCACTTGTCAGTGATTTCATGGATTTTCGGCATGTTTTGGTCTGGTTGGCCCTAGCTTTCTTCCAACCTATTTCTACACTACAATACATCGCTCATCGAGGCAGTTGATGGTTGGGGATTCGTAACATATATCCCAACCACCTCAACTGATGGAGTTTCACTACTTCGCCATTAATTACCTAATATTCCTGATTTCAACATGACTTTTCCGATGATGTCAAGATAGACTGATAGGCCTTGAGAGGCATTTGAAATCAGCTCTCATAAGTAACTTATAAACATTGCCAAGGTAGTTTGACAGTGTTTATGAATCAGGTGAATTACTCTCATTTTTTTTATAATATTTGTTCAGAGAACTGCTCATTCGAGAAAATAAATAAGGTAAACGGAAAACCCTAAATTAATTGTCAGGGACAATTTAGATGATAGTTTTAAACTTCTTACATCATTCGTTTATTACTGTGCAATGGAAATTCGAAATTTTGTGTATAAAAATACTTGAGAAAATATATTTTGAACATTGAATCAATTATGTAATGTGTGAATTTTTTTATTCAAAACGAAAATTAAAGGCCACTGGTAGAATTTAACTTTGCAACACTTGTGTTAAATACATGTTAGAATCATCAATCAATCATCGTTAGACCGCCGTTAGAAACCTGGAAGCAATGGATGGCTTTTACCGTCCTGGTATGGGACTCATCAGCAGTGTGCATCCACGACTCCCACACCTCGCAGGATTCGAACGCGGGACCTGTGGTACTGTGCGAGAACGCCTAACCATCCGACCACTGGGACTGCATCCAACGATGTTAATGTCTAAATCGGATTGATCGAGGGATTTTGTGCGACCTCACTCATTTGTCTTTGGTAGTTACAATGATTGATTGATGATTTAAAATGCGTTAAAACACAAACCTCCAAAACTCTGCCCCAAAATAATTATTAGCCTGAATTTCCTTGTTCCGTTGCTGTAAAAACTATTCAAAATGGCCTAGAAGGAAGTGTGTTTTCGTTTCAAATATTCAAACATAAAATAATGTCGTAAATAACGCATTAAAACAAGTAATAATCGCTTGAATTATTGATTCTATTAAAAAAGTAAAAACAGATATTTGACTTTGAAATGGTGTGAACATATGTACATATATATGTTCACATGATTTCCTTCGAAATGTCTTATTTCAATTTCAACTAACTTGAACTGATTATTCATTATGCAGTAATTCCGAATAATTTACACAAAAGAAAAAACATGGAAACATTGAATTTTGAATATTTAATGTTGTAGAGTTTGTTTCAACATGAACGCTACGTCTTTTATATAGCTTACTTTTTATTTAAACGAAAGGATTAAAATAGGGAAGTAATATGTGTATGTATACTTTGGTATTTCATTTGGTCATAGTGAAACTGAGTACAAAACGTTTATTTAAAAAAACTGTACTTTACACCAGTATCTTAGAACTGATTAAACCAGTCGATCTGATTACGTGGATTGAAAAAATTCAACAGATATTATTCCTAAACAACAACTGAAATATAACCGATGTTTCTGGTCATTTGTTCCAATCACTCTAATAAATATGATGTTGTAACTCGGTAAATATTTTACGAAATCATTCTTATGTGACCGAATGACATTGACAATTGAAAAATTAGGTTAAAACTAGTCTTACTTAAAAAGTGCAGTTAATCGGTAATAAGTTAATTTGAAAATTTAATCTTGAAAGAATGTAGATGTATTTTTCAAAATTTTTTTTTCCGTTCATTGAAATAAAACATAGATAGTGTCTATTCATAACAACTCTTCACAGAGCGGAACTCTTGATTATCTATAGACTGTGATCAGTTTTTAATTTATTTCAGAGAAAACGAACAGGGATTTTCATTATTATGTTATCGTGTTAGATTGTTAGAATCTATTTGGTTTTTTGACCATCATGTATTTCTTCTGAATACGCGTGTTATACTTGTTTATGGTGTTGTACTCAACCATGACGTACTAGTGAGAATGATCTTAATTTTTAGTGATACAACGTCGCGTATATTGATAAATTTGATTTCTTTAGTTCCACGAGGGTCATTCAGGTCTCAAAGTTATTCAGTTCGCTTTGAGTTCAAGTATTATTTCTTAATTTTGAATAGGTTTATTGAGCGGAAAGCCTTAGGATCTCACGTAATACTCATCTTTTACACATGTATTAATTTTAAGCCAAACATTTATATGAAAAATGTTTTTCTAAAGAATAATATTGATTTGTTAGATTTCACGTAATAATTTCAAATAAGGAATATTTAGTTTGTTAATTTCAAATCAGCTAAGAGAAACTATCGATTTGAAGACAGGTTCTTGAAATTCTCTCCCTTGAAATGCTTTGTTTAACCCATGAGACATTCTTCATTGAGAGTAATGAATAATTCCGTACGTTATCACGGAGAGACGCCGCGCGGTGTACCCGATCCGGAAAGAAGACAAGCAGAAGCGTGTAAATGTCAGTCAACTGCAGAGGTGGTTTCAAGATTATCAAGTGTGTGAATCACGAAAAGCACCAAAGAAGACAGCGGTACGGCGATCAGAAAGACTACGACGACAACTTATTAAAAGGGGGGAACGAGTGTGGTGCGCGCTAATTATAAGTAGTATATGACGTGAGTGTCAACGTAATGTCTGGCAGCAGAAGATGGGCGAAGATCAAGAAAGGAAGAGCGGGAACGCAATGGGATTTGTATGAAACGCATGAACAGTGAAATATCAGACAAAGGATTGATGTTTGCAATAGGAACAGTCCAGTTCGATATGATGGATTGATATTTTGCAAATTAACGATTTTCGATATGGTTTTCCTATTTTACCAATTAACTCTGTAATTTGAGATAAATACAATTCGGTTGCCCTCACCTGTGTTCTCCTTCACTACAGCTATATCTCAAATTCAGTGAATCCAAACTTAGTGGCTTACAACTATCAAGCCAATCAGGAGTTCTTATACTGTTTGATACAATGTTGAATATCAACCTTGAGTACCAACTGTTGAAGAGACTCAACACATTTTCTTATGACATTAAAATTAGAGGGTTTCATGCTAAAAACATACAAACTGAACCACTTTTCACTGACTAAGGACTGATATCCTTAACAATGTGATATGTAACTAATAGCTAAGATATATACACATCTATGATAGAAACCATTTTTTCTAAATAAAAAAAATCAATAATAATGGCCTCGATCAAACAGTCAGTTTTTTTCCACTGTATTGATTTTATCGATTGGTGGGTTTATAGTTTTTAATTTTCCCCAATTCTTTATTTTGATGAATATTCAAATTGACTGATTCGGTGGTGTGTTGTTTGATTTTTCCTATGAACTAATCATTTTTACTGGTGAAAAATTTTCTTCATTCTTATTTGTACTAAGTAACTAAATATGGTTGATAGATAACCTTGACATTAAACATTTTCGCCTATTTAGCCTTTATAGTGTAAATGTTACATTGTTGTGTGTGTGTGTGTGTGTTACAGACATTAGTATAATTGACTATTGAACTACTAAAAGTTAATAACAAAAGTCATGATTCAACAAAGAGAAGAAAAATAAGCATAATTAATCTTAGAAGAGATTTAACTAAAATGTCGTGTTAAATATTGGAGAAAATGCTTATATATTTGGGACTAAATTGATCATAGGAAAAAGAAAGCCAAGTACATCGAAATTGCATAAATGAAAGTGTATACAGCCTAAAACCACAGAATCGATAACAAGTTAAATTCAAATGACACACACTTTTTGTTTAATCTTATTGGTTTGGAAGATCTAAATAGTTTGAAAGAGCTCATGGTCTCTTGAGTAGGAAAAGACAATTGCTAACGAATTTCAAATCATGACGAAACAGTTGTTTTTACACATTTGAGATCATGAATCGATCAGTGTTAGACCACCATTAGAAATCTGGAAGCACTGAGAGACGGCCGTTTCGTCCTAGTATGGGACTCATCGGCAGTGGGCATCCACGACTCTTGCACCTCGCAGGATTCGAACCCAGGACCTTCGGTATTGTGCGCGAACGCCTGACCTCTGGACCTGTGAGCCAGTTTCTAACGGTGTTAATGTCTAACTTGATCAAATTCACGGAGTTGCGCAACCTCATACACAGTCTTCGGTAGTCACTGTCTACACCCGAACAGGTTGAACTTCACTAGTCACGACTTCCCACCTAGAACTCGGAGAAGACTCCTCACGGAGCCAGTTACTATTGAGCACAGGTAATTGCATTATGGGGTTGTAACGTACCAATCTTCACAACCCCGTAATGCAGTTTTTTTAATCATTCTACACAATTTTTTGTGCTTTAGTAATTGAAATCACTTGGAATGCAAGAATCTACATTCCAAAACTTCTATAGTTCTTGACAGAAAAAAGCTTAACCAGAGAAAAAATCGATCGGTACAAATTGAAAATCTGTCTCCGTATTGAAAGTTTGAATATTCACCAAGGTATAAATGGTTTAGATGTTCATTTTTGGATCATTACACAAAAGCTAAAGATATTCATTCACTAAAATTTGTGTAGTTCAAAGTCAATCTACTTTTCTAGGCTTGATAAATAGCATGAAATGAGTTTTCATTCAATCGCACTGCTGAGGAGTCCCATACCAGGACGAAACGGCCGTCTTTCAGTGCTTCCAGGTTTCTAATGGTGGTCTAACATTGATCGATTCATGGTTTCAAAAAATGTGTAATCGTGTATGTGTTAAGTGATTTATAACACAGAATTAATTTCGCTCCTACATAGGAATAGGTGTCGCTCGATAAAATCTACATTATTCAACAGAATAAAGAATATGTTTTCTCAGTAGTCGGTAATTTTTTTTACAGAAAAGGTGGTTTTTATGGCAAAAATAGTTTTAAAATTACTATGACAATCACGACTAAAACTTTAAGTTTGTTTAATTTAGATCCGAACAAAATACATCGAGGACTTAATATTCTTAGTTTCAACTCCCAGTAAGTCTGTAATTGTGCAACGAACACACCTGTTCAATGTTTTATAATAATTATGAAAATGATGTAATGTTCTATACTTTAGAAAATAAAACAAAACAAAAAAAATAACTCAAAAAACTTAGTACATTCTACTTACACCAAGCTAACTGTTCTTCCAATGACATTGAATCTCCATCAACTTTCAATTCAGCGTTATCATCATTGATTGAAATAGAAAATTCCACTATGGTATCCTGTGTGGAATGATCTGTTGTTGTGTCTGGTTTGTTTGACGTTCGATGCGATGCTGTTGAGATATCATCATCATCGTCATCATCATCATCTAAAGATAAAATGAATGTAGCCTCTGTATCACCAGACATTGAAATTGTTAAATTTGATGCACACTTGTAGAATATATATTCAATGCTCAATTTTGTCTATGATTGTTTTTTCTTCTGTATGCAAATATAAAATGTTGAAGACGAGTGTTTGTGTGTGTGTCTGTGTGTGTAGGTGTGTACGTCCAAGGTTCCGGTTTCAGGTCTCGTTGAATGAGTATCGTTTAAATTGACATTCAAATAAGTTGATAGTTACAGTTTTCTTGTTGTCAATTGATGATACATTACATGACAACTATGAATTAGAGGTACATTAATGTGACTACCTATTATAATACAATTGAGTATGTTAATATGCACTGATTCATTTAGTTTTAAAGAATAATATGTGTAAATAAATGAGATCAATTTATATTATATATATTTATATATATTTATATATATATATATATATATATATATATATATATAGTGAGAAATCCTTTAAGTTTTTAAAATTTATTTTTATCAACTTATTGGTGTTCCATTTTCTAAATGAAAATATATTAACTCTCTGCTTATGATAATAAATATAGTATTATAATAGCAGCATTAGTTATTTCAATAATCTCAGTGTAATATGGTTTGTGTTATTTATTGAGAGTGGTCAGGCTATATCACCATGTGTATGCACATTGCGCATAACATGTATACCTATGTGTGTTTATGTGTGTGTTTGTGTTGGTTATTTACATCTAGACACAAAATTTGAATTGTACTAATGTCCTATCTACAGTAGTAGCTAATGCATACAACACGTACATGTCTTGGGTACAAAATGGACAAATAATAATGTTAAATAAGAATGATTGTTAGACAGACAGACTATTGGGTGAAGTAACATGTGCTGTATATATACACACAGACACACACAAAACACACACATACAGAGAGAGGTATATTTAAAGCGATTTTATGTACTTAGGGAAAGAAAACAAATAAATCATTATGTGTACACCATAATAATAATAATAATTATTATTATCCTGTAGGTATTGAACATAGGTGAGATAAGCGGACTCGTACCGATAAATGAATATATGGGAATGACATGAAATAAATTGTTTATATTCTTCAACATTGTGTTTTTTTTTCGGAATGTTGATTGACATTAGAATTTTAACAATTGAGCTAATTGGATAAATATTGTTTTAAGGAAAACGACATTATTAGATGTGTAAGACAGACATGAATGAGTTTAAACTGTCATGTAAGTTTTCAGTTAGAGCTTTGGAGATATGGTAACAGTGCTCATTAGTGACTAGTTCTAGTTCTAGTGAGAAGACGTGAGCAGTGGAGTTCAACCCTGTCGAGTGTAGACAGTAACTACGAAAGACAAATAGGTGAGCTCGCGCAAAATCCCTAGATCAATCAGAGTTAGACATTAACACCGATGGTTAGGCGTTCGCGCATAATACTGAAGGTCCCGGGTTCGAATCCTGCGAGCAGCAGGAGTCGTGGATGCACACTGCCACTGATGAGTCCCATGCCAGGACGAAACGGCCGTCTTTCAGTGCTTCCAGGTTTCTAATTGTGGTCTAACAATGATTGGTTGATGATTTCAAATGTGTCATATAAGTATAAGTATACCATTGATATTATTATAGATTTCAACTGACAAGCTATTTTAACTTCGAAGAGTACCTATCTCTAGAGATAGATATTATGTTGTGTTATATTAGTTCAAATACAATCACATAAGAAAATTAAATGACAAGGAATGATCTAGTAATATGGTGTTGTTACTGTAAATGAATTAGGATTGGAATACATGTTCAATACTCTTAACAGTGAACTTTGGCTAATTGCCATAAAATCAAATACTTACCAAAGTTTCCTTTTTGACAGCCTGAAAAAAACATCTCATCGGTGTTACTTACATAATTAAACTTACTCCAAATTACACACAGTAATGAAAAAAGTTTAGAAATATTTTATAAAAATAATAGGTCATTAACCTTTTACCATAAGGATACTCAAACGACCTAGAATACAACATATTTAGCTTTTATTGTAATGAAACAACGCTTCATGAACATTGATTAAATAACAGTGTACATTGAACATTGATCAATCAATAATTAATCACTAGAACTTCAAAGTAAGACCTAATAGATGAAAGCTCATAAAACTGCATGATTTTTGGTTCGATTTCAAATTATCAATACCCTGTATTTTGAAGATCATAACTGACCTCTACTTTTAGAATGATTCTCCAACAAATGCCGCTACATGTTGAAAACAATCTTCAGACTGAATAGATAACCCTGTATAAACCAATTCAAATAATAAATATTACATAAATATCACACAGGATTCATTCAAGTAACATGGGAAAGTTGACGAAAGTTGACAGAATTTCAATTTTTTTTTCAGTTATTTATTGATAATCTAGGGCTGTTGTCATCATCATATCAAACCTGAATTGAATTGAATTAACAGTAAGTAACCTGTGAAATTAATTTACACAAAGATGAAAAGTCAGATAATAAGCTATATATAACAAAAAGCTGATTTTAAAAAAAGCCTCGAAATCTCAGTACCTTCATTCCCATTCAAAAATGTCACCACTGTGAGTGTGTGTGTGGGAGATAGAGAAACCATGTGATGATCTATTCACATCAATCATTTTACATGTAAGCATAAACATGAAATGAAGATGGACTTGACGATTTGTTACTGAAGTATATCGACTACAATAATGAAGGGTAGGAAGAGATTAGGGGGTGTAGTGTGTGCGTATGTACTAATATGCCAAGCCCAGATGATTTGTCCCAACTAACTTACTTACTTACGCCCGTTACCCTCAATGGAGCATAGGCCAACCACCAGTTTTCGCCAACCAACTCGGTCCTGGGCTTCCCTCTCCAGTACTGTCCAATGTTTGTTCATTCCTCTCATATCTTTCGCTATCTCTCGGCGTATTGTGTTCCTTGGCCTTCCTCTTTTCATTTTGCCTTGAGGGTTCCATGTGAGAACTTGTTTTGTGACGCTGTTCGGTGCTTTCCGCAATGTATGTCCTATCCACTTCCACCGCTTCTTCCTCATTTCCTCCTCCACTGGAATCTGGTTTGTTTTCTCCCACAGTAGTTTGTTGCTGATGTTGTCTGGTCAACGAATCCGAAGTATTTTGCGTAGACAACTGTTAATAAACACTTGTATCTTATGGATGATGCCTTTCGTAGTTCTCCAAGTTTCCGCTCCATACAGTAGAACTGTCTTCACATTTGTATTGAAAATCCTGATTTTGGTTTTGGTTGAAAGTTGTTTGGAGTTCCAGATATTTTTTAACTGTAGAAATGCAGCCCTCGCTTTGCCAATCCGCGCTCTCACATCTTCGTCCGATCCACCTTTCTCGTCGATGATGCTGCCCAGATATGTAAAGTTGTTAACGTCCTCGAAAGCATCTCCATCAAGAGTGATTTGGTTGGTGCATGTTGTGTTGCATCGGAGAATTTCGCTTTTTCCTTTATGTATGTTGAGACCTACTGCTGCAGAGGCTGCTGCTACACAGGTCATCTTCTCTTGCATTTGTTGTTGAGTGTGCGATAGAAGAGCCAGATCATCTGCGAAGTCCAGATCGTCAAGCTGCGTCCTAACTGTCCAGTTGATACCGTGCTTCCCTCTAGATGTTGACGTCTTCATAATCCAGTCGATGACCAGGAGAAAGAGAAAGTGTGAGAGTAAGCAACCTTGCCTGACACCGGTCTTCACCTCAAACGAGTTTGTCAGCTGACCTCCGTGTACGATTTTGCAGTTGAATCCATCATAAGAATTCCGTATGATGTTGACTATTTTCTCAGGTACACCGTAGTGTCGAAGAAGCCTCCATAGTGTTTTCCTATCCACGCTATCAAATGCTTTCTCGTAGTCAATGAAGTTGATATAGAGTGGTGAGTTCCATTCAATTGATTGTTCCACAATGATCCGTAATGTAGCGATTTGGTCAGTACATGATCGATCCTTACGAAATCCGGCCTGTTGATCTCGAAGTTGGGCGTCTACGAAGTCCTTCATTCTGTTTAACAATACTCTGTTGAAGACTTTGCCTGGTATTGAAAGAAGAGTGATGCCTCTGTAGTCCTCACACTTGCTGAGATCGCCTTTCTTTGGTATTCTCATGAGGTATCCTTCTTTTCAGTCTGATGGTACTTGTTCCTCATCCCAAATCTTCTTGAAGAGGATGTGAAATATTTTCGCTGTTGCTTCTACATCTACTTTCATTGCCTCTTCTGGAATGTTGTCTGGTCCTGCTGATTTGCCGCTCTTGATTTGTCTGATGGCCGTACTGATCTCCTCAATCGTAGGTGCGCCAATATTAATTGGGAGGTCCGTGGATGCTGCTTCGATGTTGGGTGTGTTCAGTAGAGTTGGTCGATTCAGGAGTTCCCAAAAGTGCTCTACCCACCTATTTCGCTGTTCGTCAGCGTTGCTGATTACTATGCCTTCCTTGCTTTTCACTGGTCGTTCTGGTTTACGATAGTTTCCGGCGAGCTTCTTTGTTGTTTCGTACAATTGTCTGAAGTTTCCGTCTCTTGCAGCCTTTTCCGCCGTCATTGCCAGATCTTCCACATATTTTCGTTTGCCGGCTCTGATGCTCTTCTTTACTTCCATGTTTGCTTCTGTGTGTGCAGCTTGTGTGGTAACTTTCTCTGCTCTTGTTCGGCTGCCATTAATTGCTGCCTTCTTGTTCCTCCTTTCTTCAATTTTTGAAAGAGTACCAACAGAGATCCATTCCTTGTGATGGTGCTTCTTGCAACCAAGGACCTCCTGACATGTTGAAGTGATTGCCTCCTTGATCCCTTTCCAGTTGTTCTCCAATGTTGCTTCCTCTCCATTGAGTAGATCCTGAAAGGCCTGGAACCTATCAGTGAGGGCTATCTTGAATTCATTGAGCTTTACGGTATCCCGAAGGAAGGCTGTCTTAAACTTGTGTGATGTTGTCTGCCCCGTTAGTCAGTGCTTCTTTAGCTTCAGTTTCATTTTGGCGATCAGCAAATGGTGATCTGATGCTATATCAGCTCCTCTCCTGGTTCTCACATCTTCCATAATCCTTCTGAACGTTTTGTTGATACAGATATGGTCAATTTGGTTTTGAGTAGTGTGGCGCGGTGATGTCCATGTGGCTCTGTGAATGCGTTTGTGCGGGAATATTGTGCCACCAATGACCAGTTTGTTGAACGCACATAGGTTTGCAAGTCTCTCACCATTTTCGTTTCTTTCTCCCAGTCCATGTCGTCCCATTATGTCTTCATATCCAGTGTTGTCCATGCCAACCTTGGCATTCAGGTCTCCCATAAGAATCGTCAAATCCTTTGGTGAACATTTCTCGACGATCGACTGCAGCCTTTCGTAGAATTGATCTTTATCGTCGTCATTGTAGTCGTTGGTAGGTGCA